ATTCTTTTAAACAGCAGGATATACAAATTCATAGGCTTAAAATTTATTTGAATGAATGCACATGAGATGCGAATGTCACACTATCCCTCCAGTGTTATGCTTTATCAGAGAGACAAAACTCAATATTCAAGGATTAAAAGGTCTAATAGCTGCTAATTGGGTCTAATAGAATTTTGACATCTCTTGGAGGTGATTAAACATTGAATGCTGGAGCCATGTAATCATTTTCGAACCAGTGAACAATGCTATAAAATAATAACAAGTCGGAAGGATCAATATCTCAAAACAAAGAATTAACCAGAAGTAAAATTCCAAATCAATCCAACATCCCTCATTGATCAGCTTATACTTGCTAAGGCAAGCTTGGAAACTAGCCAATTTCCCCTAATTTTATGATGCCTGGACCCAGCTAAGATTGACTGATCCTGGGGTGTGCAGGTTTCAGACAGAAATCAGTAAGCTAAATTTCCAAACAAGCACTCATTTATATGAAAAACCATTTACGTATGTAATATCAGTGAAATGTCATAAAAGAGAAGTTTACCTTGAGAAAAGTAAATTTATAAACAATATGTCCCGAAAGGCAAGAAAAAATAATACTTCATATAAAAACATTTTAAATAAATGCATATCTAAGCATATTTTACCATACTTTTAATTTACATGTAAACCAAATTGCTATTTATTTATTTTGTTTTTGGAAATAGAGAATTACTGCTTACCAATAATTTCCAGTGACATACACAAACACATATAATATTACAAACTAATCTAGTAATCAAAAATTTATCTATTTTATAGTAATGTTCTTCCCCAATTCTGTTTCCATTATATTACTTATAAATTAACTTTATATTTCTGCAAATTATGATATAATCATGTATAGAAAAAAAGGGCATAAATAGAAAATTTTCTAAAAGCTTCATCAGCTTAACTGTCACAACCCAGAATAATTAATTTACTAAATTTATTATGTAAATTACTCAAAACTTGACATCAAAACAACTTGAATTAAGGAAAGGAGTAGCACTGTATCATTTTTGAGGCATTTTAAATCCAGATACATATATAATTAAAAATTGAGAACAATAGCACCACAAGAACAGAGTTGATATTGGAAGTCAGAGATTTTATGTAAAAAAAAATATTATTTTACCACTTTTGCTTTATGCAAAATTTCCTAAGCCATCAGTAAAAATTAAAGGAAAACAGAGCCTCCCTGGTGGTGCAAGGGGTTAAGCACCGCATTATGAAGCAATCCACAGCCTCTGCAGCACGAGTTCTATTCCCGGTCGGCCAGGGAGAAATCCACATGGCGAAGCAGACCTTTCTTGTCTTGCCCGCTGCTCCCTTCAGCAGTGTATTTCAGTCAGTCTGCCTATTCTGTTCCCTACTCTGTCTCTGGTGGAGCCTCTCACCCCTGCATCTCTGGTCTGTACCCCAGTTCTTATATGCATAAATAAATAAATTTTTAGGAAAAAAAGGAAAATAAAGTTGTTGAACAAAGAAAATGACTTACATAAGACAACATAACCCCAGTAGGGAATGTGGTACTCAGCCCAAAAATTTTTTAAAAGCATCTCTAATTAAAATTCACCACCATAAAAAATTAATCACTAAATTTAATTTCCTATTAATACAGTTTTACATAATTTTTATTAAAAACATGTTTTATTAGATTTTCTAACAAATTAAATGAACAGTATTTACTTTTTTTTTTTTTTTTTTTTTTTGTGGGACCTTTGCCAGCGGCCGGGGAACGAACCAGCGCTGCAGAGGCTGTGGGCAGCCTCGCAACCCAGCGCTCAACCACTGCGCCACCAGGGGCGGCCCGAACAGTATTTACTTTTATTGCTGGTTTATATGCTTTGATAATTACATGAAACTATTCTATTCAGCTAAATTAGATATAATTTTAGTCACAAACATATTTTTTACTAATATTTTATTCACTTAAACATGGAGCAGTAAAATACTATAGATGTGTTTTTTGCATGTGTATACATACAGATGTTGCATTTAGGTTGCCACCCAAACTTGAATGTGTTGCACTGAAAGGCCTTACCTTCTGATTATTTGCCAGATCAATCCACACCATCCATAATAAAGTCCTAATATAGGCCTAGCACCCAGAATTTCCAGTGATTTGAGAAAGATGGATACAAACTAAAAGTTTCTCTAGTATTCTTACATTTATTGAGGCCAAAATTTTCCAAGCCAAATTCCAAATTCATTGGCTAGATACACTGTAACCAAAGGTGTATGGTGTCATGTTACACTTGCAACTTTGCTTAAGATTGTGTACTACATGAAGATAGGAATCATGGCTTTCTGTGTTCACTATTATTTATACATCTCATAGTATACAGGAAACTCCAAGAGAAAGATAATGTTGGCTGAGACAGCAAGATGCAAAATAGGACAAAAGATACAAACCTATTATAAAAAATAATGATGACAAAATCTTCTGAGTGTGTATTGTATATATACAGAGAAAAACAAGAAATGACACAGTAATTGTCAATATAACTTAATTAGGGGAATATGATTGTCAGGAGAAAGGAAAAAAGAGAAGAAAACACAAAAGATATGTAAAAACTATGTGACAAATAATGATTATGATGAAAAGTTACATTTTAATCATTTAAATAATAGAGCATTTAAGAACTATCTCACATGGAGCAACTGAAAGGAAAATTATAAACACAGAAGATCCATTAATTCATATGGTTTTATATTCTGAGTAAAACAACTATTAAATAAGAAAAATAAGATTTTGTACAGTGATACATCTTTCGAAGAATGTTAAAATTTACATGATAGAGAGAGCGAGAAATAGTCCTGAACTGAGAAAAGATCTCAAGACTTGGAAAATTTAATTTGGGATTCATCAGGCTACAAGGGTGTTGAAATCCATAATGTGATAATCTAGAAAGTGAAAGGAGAAGAGGAGACTTAAAGGTTCCACCCTATAGAGCTTTGGCATTTCTAGAATAGTATATGGAAGACGAATACACAGAAATGACAGAGAAAGAAATCCCCCAGAAACCCAAGGGTTGTCTTTTCATGTTAGTGTTGAGATAAGGCTGGACCAGTGAATTCGGTCACATGAAAACTGCTGGAAATATTCACAGAAGCAAGTGAGGTGGAGTAGAAAGGATGAAAAATGATATGAGACAAAGAGTAGAGTGAGGGAGTGGATATGATAAGACTGCTTTCAATGAGTTTTGCTGTAAAATGTGGTGCAGATTAATGCAGCACTGAATGGAGGGGCACAGTAAGATTGAGGGAGTCTTTCCCAAGTGGATATTTATTGTATCATTTTTCTATGTTAATTCCGAGGAAAACCTAGATGCATGAGAAGGAAGAGATAGCAGCAAGATAAAACTCAACGAGAAGTGTGAGATAAAGTCATTGATCATGTAAGGGAAGGCTTAGGTGTAGGTTGGAGAAGGAACAACTGGATTTCCTTACACTTGAAGCATCTATCAGTATGTGATAATAATGTACTTTCCCCTCAGTGTGAGTAATCTTTGAAGTTGTTCCACTGTGTGTTATTTAAATCAATATAGATTTATAGCACATCAGTTATCTCCTAGCTAAATGTCCATAAGTAGCAAAAGCAAACAAGGAAACTATAATTTGCATCCTAGGAGACATCTTCATCTTCATACATTCTCCAAAATTATAGACTAGAAAAAAATGACATAAACATGCAAGCTACATGAACTAATAAATTAATAGGGTAATAGTCAACATGTCTTTAGATAGTTATATATTATTTATACATAAATCACAACTCAGTCTTACAAATTTCCTAGATAATTGTCCTTTCTACTGCAATAGCTTTTATGCCAAGTAGAGAATAAAATAAGCTTTTAAAATCAGTGATGATCAATGCACCCTTTCTTTTCCTTTATTCTGTTCCACTGGTATGCTTTAGACTCACCCGAAATGAGGAAAAAGAAAAGTCCCCCACATAAACATACCTATTTTGCTACTTTATGTGCACATAAAGTTAGGAATTTAAGCCTTGGCATCATAAACAGAACATTAGTAGGTAAAACTGCAGCAGTCTTTTGCAATCAGCTTTTAATAGCAAGTGTCAGAGAAAGCTAGGAATTTTTTCCTAACTGAAAATATGTACGACACTGGGTAGCCAGAAAGTTAACTTAAGCAACTTAATTATCACAATTAAAAACTAATTTTGAAAAAATTCTTTAATATCCTCCTATGCAGCCCTAAATTTTTATCCATGTTTACCTAAATAAGGGACATTTCCTTCAATATACAATTTTATATTTACAAAGACAAAAATCTACAAAGATAGTTTTCAAAGAGATCTCATAAAATACTAGGCCTAAAGAATTATCTACCAAGTCTACTTTCTCTACAAATCCAGTTTTCTTCCTATTAAGAGCAAGGGGGATGAATCAGGTATTTTTAATGAACCCAGGAAGAAATAATGATCTTTTATTCATTTACAACTTAATAAAGTAGTTTATAATTCCATAACAAACCTACCAACAAAACAAAATCACTCTGGTAAAATCGTCCTGTCATATCAATTGTTTTTCAGTTTTAACTTTTATTTTAGTAAAAAAGAAAAACTAAAGTACTCATTTTATCATTTTAAAATTCTTAATTCAGTCAGAAGAATTATGGTCCACGTAACCAAAACTAGAACATTCATCACAGAAATACAAGCTATATTGATACAACACACTTTAAGTTCAGGGAGCAAAACAGAGTAAATTTGAATTTTGCATCTAATAGCTGTTTAGAAATCATCTCTCACCTTAGTTTGAATAAACTACTTGAATCCAAAATTAATAAAGTAGATAATATAACCTGAGCATATAGGGGGAAGTTCCCCATATAAACAGATAAAAATTGACACAATTTTATAAGAGTAAGAGGTGGTGGTTATTTGAATAAATTCTGACTCAGGTTTTTGTAGTTTGGCTTTGTTTATTTGTTTGAGCAGTTTGATAACTTACCATCTTGCTGGCCATGAAGAGTCTGTGGGCTTTGCATTCTTTCCTCAAGATTGGAACTAAGATCAGAGTTCACAGCTGACATCCGTGTCGAATCGCTCATATCAAACTCATCACTTTCTATTAAACTTTCATCCTGAAAATAGTTTTAAAAATCATCATGCATCACAAAATGGAATATATTCAAATAATGAGCATTTTATCAATAGGGTCAGTTAAAGTTTAGCCAGTAAGAGAGCTTTTACAGAACTCAGATAAATATGTTAAAATGTTACATGTTATTAGATACTTAAAATAATATATAATGAATAATTTCTCCCTCTAAGGAATTTCCAGACTCATGAACAATGTGTCTAAGTATAGACAGGTTTCAAAGGTAAAATAAAGTGTTTAAGGAAGATGTAGTTGGGGAATTATCCTAAATAGTGAAGGAATGGATTATTTTTAATTAGTAAAATCCTCCTAAAAGAGTCAATCACAAAACATAGCATAAAGAAAAACACATTTTGATTTTAAAAATTGACCTAATAAAACATGATGAGCAAAAATTTTAGAACTCAGTAAATCGTTAACCAAAAACTTTTAAATTTTTAATTAGGGTAGATTCTAATAAGAGATTAAACTTACATGTCTAGATTCAAAGTCCACATTTGTTGGAGAACAAGATAATCTTAGCAATCTTTTTTTTTTCCTTATAAGTGATTATAAATTGCACTGAAACCACAAAAAAAGGAGTTCTAGGTAAAAGTATGCAAGATCCATTTATCAAAATCCAGTTCACCAAGTGGCTAATTACCAACAAACCATTTGCCTAATGATTGATTCAACAAAATCTGTCAAATATCAACTTAAACCAAATCTAACATATTTTGTTGTAGTCATTTCACCAAAGCAAACTCCTTTTGGAGAACTGATTTTTTTTTTTGACAAATGGTGTGCTTATATAAAGGCAGGAAAACCTGAGAAAAATGTGTACAATATCATAGTTGTTTCATTGAAATCACTGTTTGACTGCAATGTGTAAATGTTTGATCTAAAAGTTTCACGTTAACATAGCCATTAGCAGTAGCAATGTTGCAGTTTATGTTGCAGAAACTGTTCTTTGTATTTGTCCACTCATCACAATCTAATGATGATTAATCATCATCACAACCTGTGAGTTAGAGGCCAGGATTCACCCCAATTTTACAGATTCAGAGCTGAGGACCAGAGCAATTAAACAATTTTCCCCCATTTATTATATAAAGTAGAACTGGTATTCATATGAAGTCACATGAAGTCTTGAGAAAATAAAACAGGAAAAGTTATCTTGCCTATAATTGGTGGACAGGAACATTCTGATAGATTAACAAATTAGAATCCTGATCCAAAGATAAAGCACAGGTGATTTTGGTGTCCTTCCTTTAGCAAAGGTCTGATCTTATCTGGATATACTTAATAGTATTAGTTCTTCATTAATTCAGCAAGGAAAAGTCACTCTGTGAGAGCACTGGGCAACCAGCCTTCTCCTGGAAGCATGCTGTCTCTCAGGACTTTATGTTTTCTCTAATTCTAAATTCTAAGAAATTCCAAAGCATCTGAAATATATATTTGTATGTATATGCACATGGACATGTGTGTTAAAAGAATAAATGAAAGCATTTCAATGTATATATCACTGTTATAAATGTGTACCATGTGTATTACATCTATATGCACACTTAGCCAGATGATATATATCAAATATTTAACATATATGTAGTATATATGATATCATGGTATTTTACAGCATGATTTCTGGAGCCTGACTGCCCCACTCAGACTTGTGCTCTCTACCACGTAACAGATGTGTTATCTTCTGTGCCTTAGTTTCTTCATCTAGAAAATGGGAATTATAATAGTATCAATCCCATAGAGTTATAGGAAGATTAAGGCAGTATATTTTAGGTATTTAAAACAATGTCAAGTATATATAAGCACAAAACTGATACTGTTGTATAGAATATGTAAACATTCTATACTATATAATAAGATTTGTATTTGTTATATGAAAACAAGCAAAAACAAATATGGTAAACACGTTTATAAAGTAGCTGAGTAATATACATAAATGTAGTCTTTATAGTAAGCATTTATCCTACATATTACAAGTAGCTATCTCTTTATATATATAACCTAATAAATTATTTCCATGTTGTATGTATATATATGATACTTATGTGATTAACATGTATATATATATGTAAGAAGGTATGTGTATATGTGTGCAGTATGATTTAAAAAAAAGCTGGATATAATGAGTCAGGCCACAGTCTCTGTTCTACAAAATGGTGATACAAACTGCTATAGCACATTATGGATAATCAGTAAACATTTAACAGCACTAAATGACATTCTTGTCACAAACATTTTGGGAAATATGGAAAAAGACTCAACAGTTATGTAACCAAATGCAACTATTCTGTATCTTGTTATTTTTTTTAATCATCATTTTAAAGTATTTATCATTATAAGTGCTTTAATGATTATGATTTTTAAAATATTTCCTCCATGATTTCCTAATAAATATAATTCACTTTTCACAACTTTTCTCCTTATTAGAATATCAATTATCTGATTGCTTACATTTATAAAGAGCCATAATGAAACTAAGTGCAATTTTCATTACATAAGTTCATTAAATGATTAAATTAGTAGCTTTTAAATTAAAGTTGACACGGATGTATGAAATATAAGATTTTAGAGCATTTTATTATCAACATAGAGAAAATGTTAATCACTCCAGGTAGAAACTGTTAAATATTTCTAAAGGTGAAAAATCAGAAAACTTGATAGGCTAGTATATATTCATGATATTCATTATCATCTTTAGACTATTCATCTAAATCCTCAAGTCTATGATTGCTTTAGTTTTGTATGCCAACCTGAAGAGTCTGCACATCCTACAATGTGAGTTTATACTTTATGTTAATCTCATGATACTGAAACCATGGTAAATCACCATACAGTTCTGCTTCCTGAATTAGAAAAAAATATTTAACTGTAACAAGTAATTTTCTGCTCAGTCTTTACACCTTTAAAAATAACACCTATATTGGGCCTCCCCAGTGGAGCAGTGGTTGAGTGCTGGGCTGCGAAGCTGCCCGAAGCCTCTGCGGCGCCAGTTTGATCCCTGGCTGCTCCCCTGCCACTGGAGGAAGTTCCTGCATGGCACACAGACCTCTCCTGCCGCCTGCTGCTCCCCTCAGCAGTGTACTTCAGTCTTTCTGCCTGCTCTGCTACTCGCTCTGGTGAATTCTCTCACACTCCCATGCTTCTGACTGTACCCAGTGCTTGTATAAATAAATAAATTAATCTTAAAAAAATAAAAATAACACCTATAGGGGAGCTCCCTGGTGGTGCAGCGGTTGAGCGCTGGGTTGTGAAGCTGCCCGCAGCCTCTGCAGCGCCAGTTCGATCCCCGGCTGCTCCCCGGCCACCGGGTGAGGGTCCCATATGGCACGCAGACCTCCCCTGCTGCCCACTGCTCCTCCCAGCAGTGTACTTCGTCAGTCTGCCTGATGTGCTCCCTGCTCTGGCTCTGGTGAATTCTCTCACCCTCCTGCGCTTCTGACTGTACCCAGTGCTTGTATAAATAAATAAATAAATAGATAGATAGATAAATAAATAAATCTTTAAAAAATAAAATAAAAATAACACCTATATATTTTTAAAAATGTTTATCACTGAGCTTTTCTATTTTGACAACTTTATTGAAATTCAGATTATTTATCTGGTCTATATTTCATTTTAATTTTCAACTTCCAGATTTCACCCTAGAGTCTCGGGGTCATATACCTCCTCCTTTCTCTTCCTATTGTGCAGATTGGTTGAATATTTTATATTTCTATTTCCTGAATAACAAAACACAGTTCTCTAGTTATCTACCTATCTCCAATTTCTTACCCATGTTTTTCGCTAACTATTGTCAAATAAATCTTCAACTTAGGACACACTATTTCTCTGCTCATAAATTTGTGCTTATATCTATTAACTATGAAGTAATTGTAAACTACATCAAACATTCAGGGTTTTCTGTAAGACAACTAACTCCCCTTAGATAACAACATTGCTACCAATCTCATCTTTGTCATGTTTTTCACTACCCTGTGCTCAAATCAACTTAAAGTCTATATTATTAAACTTTATATGAAATACACCACCTCAAATTTTATTGTGGATGAGTATATGTCTTTTTAAAAATTCAGATGAACAGGTTGCACATATCCAACCTAGAATTAGAATTTTGGGGGTGGAATCCTGTAATATGTAATTCACGAAGGTCCATGAGTTTCTCCAATGCTATTTACCTAGCGTTAAGAAAATATTTTACATTGATGAAATTACTCTATATTACATATTCAATAAAGTAACAACCAAACATATTTGGTTATTGAGCACTTGAAATATGGCTAGTGCTACTGAAGAACTAAAATTTTAATTTTATTTTTAAGATTATTTTAAATAAAATTTAAACACCTGCATGCAATGAGTGTATACCACACTGGTAAATTCAATAATTCTTCATTGTTGGATCTTGAAAATATTTCCAATCATTCATTATTTCATGGCAATAAATACTGAATACAAATATTTCTTCAAACATTACATTCCCTTGTATAATTTTGTAATGAAAATATGTAAATACCATTTAAAACTTTTGAGTGGCTTGCCCTATGACTATTTCCCTTGCTTATTCTGCATGAAATATGTAGACTATCTTGCTCTTCCAACAGCTACTGAACATGCTCCTACCACAGGGTCGTTGCAGTTCATCCCCTGCTATATGCACATACGTGTACTTCATTTCCTTCAGTTTTGCTCAAATGATACCTTCCCCAAGAAGGTGTTTAAAATTGTGATTCCTCATCCTAAAGGGATTGCTATTCTTGGCTGCCTTTATTTCTCTTAATAGTATTAGCATCTCCTGTATACATACTTGAGTTTTACTTCCTTTATAGTCACTCTCCCACATGAGAAGATGTTTACTATTGCCCATTTATTCACTGTTGATCCATTTCTCCATTGTCAAGAGTGACAGTCACATAGCAGGTAGTCAATAAATATAGATTAACCTAATTGAATTAGTGCTTATTAAAATTCAAATATAACATCAAAAAGTAATATCTCACTTGACTTCCATTTCAATGTGACTTTCTTAACCACTTTCCTATCTTTCTGTAATCACGACTTCTGAAATTTTATAATATTCTAGTCACGTCTCTGAATATTTTGATGGCAGTGTATATATCCAATTTAATATTTTAAAATGTAAGGATAAGAGTCATATTCCTGATGCAGCTACACATTTAAAAGGGTACTATTTCTTTTGTGTGAAGCACTTAAACTTTTTAGAAGCCAGAAGAAACCAACACATGCAAGTTGTATTGTTAGCACAGAGTTGATCTTCTTGCTTTTTAGAATAGATATAAATTATATCGGCATCTATGAGCTACCTACAAATAATTTGACACACTCACTAGTTTAAGAGCTAAGAAATTTCAATTATCTGATGAATCATAGTAACATTTCTTTTTCATTCTCAGGCATGGTTAGACATTAATATTTTAATTGTCTTTCATGTCTTTAACCCAGAGATTTCATCACTATTTTAAAATCACTTATATACAGCCATCTGTTAATATGGAGTTTGATATAGCCAGGACATTAATACAAATTTTATTGAGTGTGCCCTGAATAAAGTCTTTTTTTTTTTTTTCAGAGGCAAGCTTTTTTTTTTTTAATTTATTTATTTATACATACAAGCACTGGGTACAGTCAGAAGTGTGAGAGAGTGAGAGAATTCACCAGAGCCAGAGCAGGGAGCAGAGCAGGCAGAAGGACCGAGGTACACTGCTGAGGGGAGCAGCGGGCAGCAGGAGGGGTCTGCGTGCCATGTGGGACCCTGCTCCGGTGGCCGGGGAGCAGCCTGAGATCAAACTGGCGCTGCAGAGGCTGCGGGCAGCTTCGCAACCCAGCACTCAACCGCTGCGCCACCAGGGAGGCCCTAAAGTCTTTTAAGATAAAAAAAATATTGTAAGTATAGTTTTGAGATTAAATCAAGGAGAAAACAATAAAATGAATTCTGTCAAGAGTTAGCACAGCAAATTAATTTTGAAAGAACTTAATATTTTACCAAATAATGCTGTATTTGAAAAATAAATATTTGACCACATTTGTTCTAGAGAAAGTTCAAGAAGGAAAGAATTTATTAGTCTGAGAAACTATTCCTAAGACAGACCATGTAAGTGTGGTCTACCAATTATTCCCTATTAACTAGTTTACTAAGTCCCTACTGTGTGCCTATTATTGTAAGTCTATGGGTAGGGGGAGGGAGACATACACATATGGACACATAGGTAATTTAGTCCCCACCTTTGTGATTCTACAGTCAAATTAATGAATTAAGTGGAATTAAAAGAGAATGTCTCACAAACATGCATTTACTATTTAATACCTACCACCAAATTCATCACTCTTTTTTTTATATACAAATTCAATGAAATGATTTAAAACAAAATTATCTCTAATTAAGAACACTGCTGGTGCTCATGGGGTGAATATGTACATTTGTAGTGGTTTAAACCTATAACCCTCAAAGATACAATGATGTAAACCAACTTTACCTCAATCCATATAATTTGATAAAATAAAGGTAAAAAAAGATTCAACACAAGTTTTCCCTAGAAAATGCAGACAAGTAGACAATTACATAAAATAGTGATTAACTGAGGAATAACTTTAAAGTATATATAAGAATTAAATGGAGAAATGATTATACTTTTATCCCTGGCCAGGGAGCTAACCCACATAAGGCACAGCATAACTCTCCTGCCTCACCTGTTGCTCCCCTCAGCAGTATATTTAAGTAGATCCACCTGCTTCTCCCCATTCTGTCTCTGGTGAATCTTCTCACTACCTGCACCTCCGGCTTATACCCCAGTTCTTCTACATAAAAATTTAAAATTAAATTAAAAAAAATTTTTTTGACACTCACTCATTTGGTACACTTCCCCTAAGCTTTCTGGTATTTTAACCAGCTCAGTGGTGGTCTGTGAGGAAAATGAAACTTTCTGGGGTTAAACAAATTTCTACATAGTTCCAAAGTTAGATGTATTGGCTGGAATTTCTATTAAGAACTAGAAGTTTCTGCCTGTATCTGAATCTGTGCAATCCTGGTGATATCTCTTTCATTAAAAAAATAAATTACCATCTTCAAAATGCCATCATACTTATTATGATCGTCATGGTTATCAAATTTCATTTCAACTTGCAAGTGATAGAAATGCAGATGTGACCATGTTACCTCATCTTGCTGTGAGTTTAGCAGCTGCAGCTTCATGTGCTTCATATACGCCATGGTAATTGGCATGTTGTAGTCAATCATGCTGGTCACCAAAGTGGGAGGTTTTCCATTATCTGTAATAAAAGATTTTTGATGGGTAATGAAGGTGATATTGCATTCTACCTGTAATTTCAGAATGACCCAATTTGTTCATAGTGGGATAAGATTCTAAATAGCAAGAGGTTAAGAGATGGGTAGCACTGTGCATGACTTATAGACAAAATAACTGGAAAGGCTCTACAAAGTTAACAAATTAACACTAGATGAACTAGTTATTTCTGACCAGAGGGGACCTTTTTAATAACCTGGGTAATAATGAGTGAAGCGAATATGGATATTTAGCACAATTATTTGTATTTCTGAACTTTCCCCTTTTTTGTGCATTTACTTTCCATATGTACTACTTGACTCAAATGGAAATATGCTCTTTTTTCCATTAAATTTTCGTTACCAGTCTACCCATCCACAAACACACAGAAAGAATCTAGCATAATTGTGATTTTTAAAGAAAGTTGAATTCAAATTACAATTTTCACACACAAAAAAACTTTCAGTGAAATGCCATATTATTCATCACTTTTAGAAATAGGAATGGGCATATTTAAATGGAAATGAATGGAACATCCATTTCCTTGCTTAATATATCTAAAATACCATGAAATACACACAATAAGTGAAAATTAAAATATTATTATTGAAAAAATGTTATATGCCACAGTTGAAACTGACTTTTCTCTAAGAATGGACACAAATTACTTTTTGAGTTGATATTCAAAATTCACTGACTACTTCTTGAATCAACGAGATGATCTGACTTGTTGAACTGTATCAGTCTACCATATTTTTATAAAAATGGGAGATATAAATTGCCATTATGAATAAAATTGCTTTAAATCTCACTGTTTGACACTGTGGCTACCTTTATGATCTGTTCCATCTGGGTTTAAATGCATTCTTTTCTGGCACTCTGAGCAGCTCATTAGAAATCGTGTCACCGCTTCTCTTGGTAGGAAGGCATAGCTCTCTGAAATCTGAAATGATTCACAAAATAGAGGTGTTATTATTTAAGCTAACTGAGCAAGATTCAACAGAAATGATCATTGTATTTCCAAATAAGACGCATTATTCCATAATGGCAGGAAGCACAATGAAAGCATGCACTGCATACCATGCATCATTTCAAGAAATATCTATCCAATTTGATTGCATGTCTCTTAATAATAACTAATAACATGATGTGGAGAAAAAAAAGCCACATCTGGATGGATATGTTTATATTTCTGTATTTCTTTTAGGAGAAATAATCACAGTATATAGATATTATAGTGATTCACTTAGTTAAAAATTGTCAACACTGTGTTTAAACTTACTACTAGCACCACCAAAATTGTATCCAATTTTACGTATTTTTTAATTTAGCCTTAAGTAGAAACAATGAAATTTGGATTTTGCATTAATGAGCATTTATTCATTGCTGTTTTCAAAACAGTTTAAATGAGAATAAAAGATAAGAGAACTCTTGCACATATTTACTACCTTAAATCATACCTTCCACAGAAAATGACACACATAGAAATACATTTTGGCCACATATTTCATTGGCTATTTTATGTTAATTTCTCATAATTTATGTCCACAACAGTTCACATTAATGACCAGGGTTAAGTTTTTCTCATCCCCTGCACAGTTTCTAGTTTCAGAATTATTGATCTAGAATCAAAACATAAATCAATACTACTGGCAGTAATTTTTTAAACATTAATGTTTTAACAACCTGATCAAAACAATGTCCCTGATCAAAACAAATAATTTCTGAGGTAAAATTAATTGTCAAATATCTCTAAATAAGAGCTGACATGGACTAATACTAAGAAATCTGACAGAGGGCATTATACCACCAGAGCACTAATCCTGATACATGAAGAGATTATAAGAGGAATAAATGAGTTGTATATTAGACATTAGTACCACAGACTATTTCCCAAGGGTACCTATAGCCATTATGAGCACTGATGAAAAAAGAAAATAAGTACCTCGTGTGCAATTGCATATACATATGCACCAATTCCATTAATGGCGATCAGATCAACTTCTGCTTATCTATTCTGTAGAAGGATGACATTGAGGAAACTCCAAATACTGAGATCCAAAATTTTTTTTTTAATATTTATTTATTTATGCATACAAGAACCAGGGTACAGGCCACATGTGCGGGAGGTGAGCAGATTCACCAGAGACAAAGCAGGGAACAGAACAGGCAGATTGACTGAAAAACACTGCTAAGGGGAGCAGTGGGCAAGACAGGAGAGGTCTGCTGTGCCATGTGGGCCTCTCCTGGGCCAGTGAGGAGCCAACCCGTGCTGCAGAGGCTGTGGACAGCTTCACAGCGCTATGCTCAACCACCTGCGCCACTGGGCAGGCCCTATAAAGTGTATTTTTTTTCTGAATTTAATATTAAAATAAGTTTGTGTCACTTAGTCTATCCCATTGACTCTCAAGGAAAAGAAGCCATGAGGATACCAAAGAGAAGGAACAACTCATATGACTAAAATCTGCCATAAATGATGTAGATACAAGTAATGAAATTTCAGTTTCAGCAAGATCAGCAATAGGAGACTTTGACTTTAATGTAAATATTATTTGTAAATTAACATTTAAAGATTTTTTAAAAAATACTTCCTCATATGATCAAAGAAATTTTAAGGATGGAAACAGAATAATTTCTTCTGTCATGTTTCATGAACATATTTTATATTATTGGATAAGGAAATATACTCACAGTTCAAGTTCTCATCCACTCTCTACCTTCTCCTTCTCTGTATATTATACACATGAATTTGATTCCTACTTATATATTTTAAAGAGGGAACTATCAATAGTATTGTGAATAAGTCTAATGATCTTATTTATCTGGCTGGACATTCTTGTTTCTGACTCTCGAAAACCTATTTTATAATGACTCAGAAAAAAAGAATGCCTGCCCACTCCTGATACTTTATATGTTAACTCAGGTGGAGCCATAGTCTATTGGAACTAGTAGGACTGAGCAGTGTATTCATTAACAAATGGAGAGAGAAGAATATTCCACTGATTTTTCAAATAAGACTTCTACTCAATCTTTTCTCTACTTACATACAAAAGAAACCTCCCATTAAGAAAGATAGGTAAGTGGTAGACTTGAAAACATACAACATGCATTGATGTCCATGGTCCTGATGCTCTTCATCATCTGCACTTTCCCAGGGCTCATAAAGCACTTGTGTAGGAATTCCTTCTAGGCAGATTTGTATCAATCTAACTTAATTGGATTACTTACTTTAGCACTACATAACTCCAAATCAATTTTTTCTGGGAACCATAATTAATCATATTACATTTTTAATAGATTTTCCCCTGAAAAACAACACCTGTAATGGTCATAAATATATTTGTGTTTAGGTGTATTTATGTGTAAGAAATAATATAATCCCACTTGATAGCAGAGATTTTTTTAGCAAGTGTTTTATCACATTTTTCACTGTTGTGGTATTCGGACATAGCACTTGGCATGCTACTCTATGTTACAGAAGTGAATAAAAGCATTTATCTGAGTGTAATTTTCCTAGTGTTCAGAATCAATTTTATGGGGACATTTTCCAAGTCATCCCATCTCCTCAGATCTTTTCTTTCCCATCTTAGGATCACTGCACAAATTATGGAGTCTTCTTAGGCAAGAAGTGAAGAGATCCTTTCCTTGGAAATCAAGTCTCACACTCATTTTGTTATAGAGCAACCCCGATATTAAACGGGTTCCTGGCTGTGGGTCCTCACCCGCGCGCTTTAAAAGGACTTATGAATACTACAGACACACACAAAAGGGTTAATAAAAGGTTTATTTACAAGAAAAAAAGAAATAAGAAAAATATACAACTCAGGGAGAAAATAGGGAAATAAAGTCTTTAATGCGTCCTACCCGGTCCGACGACCTGGAAACCCTAAGTCACTCTCAGAGCTGGCCAGACGCTGCGAGCTGGCGGAGAGCCAAAAATGGAGCCCCCCAAAGCCCACGTGTCTGCCTTTTGTATCCACCTGGCTGCTTAACCCCACCCTCAGGTCCCAGCCACCTTCCCTTTGGTGGTGATGGGATTTGGAGTTCCCAGTGTCTTTGGCTTTGACCTGGGGTGGGGGTGGAGTCCACAAAGCCTATATGGAATTAGCTTTGGGACATCCTTTTCCCCCTAACAATTTCTGAGACATTTCCCCTTCTATGAAAGAAAGGGGGTAGGCTCATTTATTTTTAATCTAGAATATTTTCTCCCAGGCCTCTCTGAAATTAATAGTTCTGGTTAGCCCTCACTGTTGAGGTTTTCAGAATATTTAAAAAAAATGAATATTCTTTAAAAATTCAAAAATATGGTACATTTGAATAATTACATTTAACATTAAAGCCCTATGATGAAATTTTGTCTTTTAACCTATAAGTATCCCTTGGTAATTCCATCCACAGATAACACTGAAAGCTACATATGAAAGCTCTTTTGAACTTAAGACCTGACTAAATGTACTGATGGCCTGGCTTTCATGAAAAGTTCTGTTTCCATTTGCCAAGTAAATGTTTGAAATGCTAAATCAACTTTAAATAAATGTTCGTAAAAGGTGATAGAACTCAAGGACATGTTCTTCTAGGCTATCAATTTATCAAAGTCCTAACATTCTTCAAGTAATATGTAACAGCAGTTTCAAAATAAACCTAGAAATATGGGAAAGAAATGGAAACATTTATATTTGGAATCATTAAATACCATTCTACTAACATTATAATTAATCATACAAAATACTGTAATCATTCATTAATGTCTATTTCCTTGATCCATGTTTCAAATCTAATCACTTCTCTATTTCTAGGTTAAAAACTGGATGTTTCTTTCATGTCCTCATTCTATGAAGTTTTTTAATTTTTTTTACTATTTGTTTATTTTGGCATAGAAAAACTGAGGAATAGGCCAGAGGTGAGAGGATTCACCAGAAACAGATTGGGGGCAGAACACAGAATAGGTAGATCTACTGAAATACACTGCTGAGGGGAGCAGCAGGTGAGACAAAAGAGGTCTGCCCTGCCACGTGGGTACTTCCCTGGCCAGGGATCCATCTCATAGGGGTGATAGTGCTGAGGCTTAACCCCTAGGCTGCCAGGGAGGCCCTATGTGGGTTTTTAAAAAATTATTTGTTTTTATTGAGTTAACATTGGTTTGCATTGTATATGATTCAGAGGATGCATGTCCCCACACCACACCCACCACCAACGTACCCTCTGCCTCCACTATGGTTCTTGTACTCCCTCTCCATCTTATAGCCTCAATTTCACAGTCAGATTTCTCAGGTTTGTTATTGGCTTGGTTTTGTCTGATCCTTTGTTTGTCTCATTTTATGGGATTATACTACAGTAAATAACATAGGTATTGTCGAGTTTCCTTCAACATATATTTATACAATCTTGACTTTTTCCATTTCTAGAGGAACCAGTACACTAAATTTCATGTATATTATTCCCCTTTGGAATTTGTTGCTCTTATCTCTGGAGGCTTCCTTAATCTTCCCAGTCTTTGCCCATTCTATTCTGATCCTTGAAGCTATCCACTTGCCCTGTGACTAGGTTTATCTCTTTAACTCAAGTCACAAAATATTGCAAATTGAGAGCAAAATTAGCAAGAAAATAATTTAAAAACTGGGCTATTTGCTTTATCTATTTCACAAGTACCCTTCCTATTATTTTTAACTGCTTCATTTCTGAGCATTTTAAATAGAAGGACCTGAATATACTCAGCATGTATCTAAAGCTAGTCCCCAAAGCTCTTAGAGAATTGACCATTCTTTTTATTTTTTTATTTTTTTTTTATAGAGGCATGTTTTATTTATTTATTTGTTTTGTTTGTTTGTTTGGTTTATACAAGCACCGGGTACAGTCAGAAGCGCCGGAGGGTGAGAGAATTCACCAGAGCCAGAGCGGGGAGCAAAGCAGGCAGAAGGACCAAAGTACACTACTGAGGGGAGC